TTTTACCTGGAGCAATAATTGCATCTCTTGTTGAAGAAATTGAAGAAGTTGAAGAAGCATCAGTAATATTAGTACTTATTATTTAATGAATTGTACAAATGTAAATCGTTACTTTTTTACTCATTATTAATAGTATAGGTCACACGACCATTAATCTTATAATATCAAGAAATCCGTTATTATTAAAAATTCGAATAAATATCATATCAAGAAGAATTTTATTATCATCAAACCATACTTAGACCTCAATCCATTAGTATTCATTAAATGGAGGCACACTGATTGAAATTGACTGTGTAATATAAATTTAAATTATCAAGTTAAAAATATAAATTTACGTTAAAAAATTTTTAGGAATCCGGTTTGATTCGAATCCTGTTTTTTTGAATTTGATTCGATTCGATTCGATTCGTTCGGAGCCTTACAATTCCTGAAGCATATTGTAGAAATCTGGATCATTTACCTGCTTTTTAAGATTAGTTAGGAAAATGTAATTGATGAAATTTCAAACGAATCTAAATTGATTTAATTATGTTATGTAATTGTGACACCGCCGTTTTTTTTGTTGCACACTGTATAGAAGTTTGCCTAAACCACTAAATTTCGACAATAGTTTTGGCAAATTAAAAAATTTAGTTTCAGCTTTCATGCAGGTAAAATGCCGAAGCTAAATCTATATTACCTAATACTAATACTAATTGGTAATAATTTCATTGATATTTTGATTTTATCACGAGGAAAATTTTTTGTTACATGTAAATTTATTAATGCGCACATTCAAACAATAAAAAATCTTTTTTCTTTCTTTATTTAAAGATAAAGATATTATCCTGTCCTTAAACTTAATCAAGATTGCTGAAAAGAAATCATTTTTTATGTTATAAAAAAATTTTGGAGAGAATCATTTGCAAATTACAAAATTGAAAATGAAGGCATGAGAAGTATCTTACTAAATATATTATCAATAAAGCTAAGCAAATGCGTTCTTTGGGTAATTCCTAATCTATTCATTGCTTGCTTTTGTGGGAATAATAAGAGTGTTGAAGATTTTCAGATTTGGAAATCATAGACTTAGATTAAGAAGATAATGATCCAGAATATGGTATCTTCCAAAGCAAACACCTTGCCTAACTTACCCTTTGTTGATACCAATGTAACCAAAGAATTATAACACCTTCTACATAATAATAATAATAAAATTTCTTGTATTTCAACAATAATTAATTTGTTTCAAAAGAAAATGTCTAATTATTATAAAATAGTTTCAACAAAAATCGAAGTTTTGGCAACAAATTATAGCTTTGACACAGTGATTGAGTTTCAGCAGAGTAACTGAGTTTCAAATTATTAGTTTCTGTAACCTTTTTTTTTCTGAGTTTGGCATCATCACAATTTAGTTTAGGCAAACTTTTATAGCACACCATATATAAGGCCATTTGGATTATTTTTGATAGGACACAAAAGATTTAAATGTCAATTACGGTTTGTTCTTTGTGATTAAGATGGTTTCTTTCTTTAATGGCACCTTCAAACAAGGACTTATTTTCGTTTTTAAATTCTTGTTGTTTAATATAATTTATACTAACTTTCCAAGTTGGGAAATGTAAACTAGGACACAATTTTATGTATTTGGCTCTTTATTTTCCTCCTCCTCCTCCTCCTCCTCCTCCTCCTCCTCAGTGACATCACTATCTTCAGAAATGTTCTCTAAAAATGTGGTGGTTGGTATAAGTTAACTTTTGCTTTCAGAATCATTCGAAAGTTCAAGTTCATTCATGATTAGAGTTTTGTAAATACATTGTGACCAACAAAGTTTTAAGGGATAAAATTTATTAAAAAAAAAATCCTTTCATTGTATACATTAAAAATCTTACATGCAGAATGCATTTGTGTATAATCTATTTTCCCAATATAATAAATATTATTTTTTTAAATTCAAAAATATTAAATGTTACACGTAATATATTTTTAAAGTAGTTTTCAAAAACTTCAAAGCTAGCTATCATGCCGGATATTTTGTCCATCACAGGGGACGATGATTTTATACGGCAATGCATGCAATAAAAGTAAATTATGCATCAATTATTATTATTATTGATTTTATAGTGGTAAAATTTATTATCGCCTAATTAGTATAGATAACAAACTTTTATAGACTCTTCATAACTTGGCTATATTTTTACATATATAGAATAACAGTATATATATATACTATAATAATAACAAAAAATAAACTTTTCTGCAGATCATTGGCGAACTATTACTATAAATATTAAAATGTGTCACACTATTACTTGTCGAATTGAATATTTGGGTTCGAATTAATAATTTTGAGATAGAAATGGTTGAAGCATATGGACCACCGAATATTAGAATATTCGTTCATTTTGTACAAAAATATAATTCACATGGTGAAAGCATTAGCTTAGGTTCTCAAAATTATACATGTAAAATTTTTTATTAATGACCGTTGTTTTGTGACGAGCATAAATTTTTGAACACAAACCTGCCAAGTGTTTACTAAAAAATGACTACCGGTAGAAAAATGTAATCCACAATTGTGAACATAACAACCGTTCTTACAATACTCTACTGTGTAAACATATTTTTTTCGAATAATTAAAATGGTTTGAATTGAACGATTGAATATTCGAACCAAAAATTTTTAATGAACCAGTCCGTACGTAGGTTCTGTATTTAATTTCTCCAATGAATCAATTGACAAATTTTGGCAATCACTATCTAAGAAACATTTATACTTTGCTTCACATTGCAACCTGAAATAGGAAGCCAAGCTTTGGAATTAATGGTAATTGTTGTAGAAATGTTGATTTAGATCAAGAATGCTATCCACCAGTTGATTTCTCGGATCTTTTCTTATGTGTTGCAAAAAAGAAGGAAGGATTAAGTATTTTACATGTTATAAAAAGTCCTCTCCAAGATGTATGCAAATTTTGAGGCTCAAAATTATCAAATTTAAATTTAATTACAAGGGCTGGGAATATTAACACATATAAAGTTTTTCATTTCATTGCAATTTTTGTGAACGGATTTGTCAAAATTACTGTTAAAAAACCAGCCTTACAAGAATTACTGTACCACTACTTTTGATAGAATAAGAATGTTCCAAAATTGAAAGATAACAGAGTCCAATTTTGAAATTCATGATAACGAAAACCAATCATGTATAATTATATTTAATTTTAAATGGTGTATAATAGTACCTTGTTGTTATGGCAATATGTATAAAAAAGAAACATTAAAGTTTCTGTAACCTGAAATAATTTCAATATCGACTGTGGGCTAGGCTGTTCTATTTCAAAAACCTTATTGGTTAAAATTTCCCATCAATCCCATTAATAATAAAGATGCCAAGCATACTCCTTCTTTTCCCTTAAAAACATTTAACGAAAATGAACCACCAAGTGGAGCGGAATTATATAATTGGAACTTAAAATCAGAAGGTAATCGACATTGTTTACATTTACCAAGATATCTATTTAAATTTGTAACATTTACCCCAGGACACAAAACTTCCTGTGAAAATTTCGGAGAAAAATAATGATAATAACAAAAATGCAGGAATGATTAAACCGGCAAATTAAAAGTAGTGTTCGTGCAGTGCATCCACCCAAAAAAATCAACCCAAATAAACTGATATGACTAAATTCGGAAAGGTGATACAATATGATAATTCGTATAAACATGCTTTGAAACATTTTTTCATTATAAAAAAACAAATAATTTCTCTGCCAATGTGAATGGGAAACTTACCCTATAAAATTTCTTCATTCGTTCTTTTTTAAATTAAATTATTTTAAAAAATATATATATTATTTATTAATATTATATTCAAAATAATGTAACAAGTCAGAATCTGTTTATATTACACTCTAATAAAATACTCGATAGAAATAAATTGCTCATTTTGCAGAACATCAATAGAATAATCATAAATCCCGTAAAAACTGATAAAAAATAAAATTAACAATTGTAATGTTTGTAAAACGCACATCTTATCAAAAGTTTAACCTCTATTAACCAAACGGCGCATTTTGCAAATATTTACTGAATGGAAAATTTGATTTTTTACATGTGGTTTGTGTGGTTTTTCCTGGGCAAAAAATATATCCCCTTATTATTATATCAAAGAATTAAATGTTCCAGAGACAAAAAAATTGAAAAATCCTTGTAACTCGATCTGATATTTTTCTTTTATATGGGATTTTGAACTGAATTACTACAAAGCATATACACGCAAGAAATAAAACGTCAATTTTCTCTTAATAAAAATACGGTGGCGGTGATGGCGGCGGTGACTGTTAATTCAAAGAAAATAAAATTTTATTATTTTGACATAACGACTAGCGTTTTCATATATCAAACTAAACTTGATGGCAAACCTTTCGCCTTTTGCACAGTTGCAAAATTTATATTTTTGGAAACCAACATTAACAAAATAAAATAAATAGATAACAAATAATTACAACTATAATAAATGCAATAATTTTATCTCGATGACAAATGAATGTTATAAAAAAGAATGAAAAGTACTATATATTATCAATTATATACGTCTTAACTTAATGAAATCTTGTTCCAATTCAACATATTGTTGATTCATCTTTGTAATATAATCCTTAATTAGTAACAAACGATCAGAAATTCTTAAAATTAAAGGGTCATCACCATCATTACTATTGATGCCACAATGAATATTGGACGAAGGAATATTTAAATTTAGGCAATCATTGTAAATTGTAGGTGATGGCGTAGATGAGTTTTCTTTAACGTAGGGTATTTGTCGTTGTTTCTGTGGTTGTTGTGATAAAACTTGAGTTGGAGTAATCATATGGTTTCTGTTGTTTCTATTTTGATTATAATGTTCATAACTTTGAAGGATGTAATTTTGAATTTGGTGAATTCGTTGTTGTTGAATTTGCTGAGCATAACTTTTTTGTTGTTGATCTAAGTTCGGTTGATCATAATCTTGGTTGAAATTTTGTTGTTGTTGAGGAAGATGATGTTGTTGGTCGGGATTTTGAATTGGTTGAAAACCTTGATTGGTGTTTTGGATTGGCCAAAAAAAAACTTGGTCAAGATTTTGAATTGGTTGGGGTTGCTGACCATTCTGATTTTGTTGTTGCTGATAATTATAAGTCATTTTTTGTTTTATAATTATTTATTTTATTTGTTATTATTATTATAAATTTTAATTATTTTATAATTATTCGTTTTTATAAAAAAATTTTGATAACAGAAAAGTAATAAATTTAACCTTTTATAATCATTTTTTTATTTGAACGCTTTCTTATTCTACATTCATGCTGAGAATGTTTTGTGTAACGTTATACATAAGTACTTTACAGTCGAAACTTTATAATGTGATTGGTTTTTACGTTTATTCAATTCATTTAATTATTAAAAATGGTGGAGGATTGGTACTGTTGTGCATGACAATAATATCAAATATAAATTACTTTATTTAGGAATTTTTATAATATTTTGGTTAAGGATTAGTAGCTCTTCGTATAAGGTTTACATAACATAATTGGCTCGTGTTAATGTATTCGGTAAACAGAACAATTAGGACCTATATGTAAATTGATGTATGCTTGTTAGAAAATTAGTATATCAATAAAATTTACATAAGAGGACCGAAACTATATAGATAGGTTCCTATTGTTATTGTTATCGCAATGTTTGTGCTAGTGCTGTAAATTTTCCGGAAATTATAAAATTTTCTTTGTACATATGGTCATATTTACATATTCTCTTACCTTACAATTATCCGAGCTCCTAAATAATTCATATCCTTCGTGTCAATTTTTTATTCTATAATATATATTTATTAATTTGAAAAATTGATTTTTAATACAATAATTATCAGCTTACAAGTTGTGTCTGGTTTGATAATTTGTATACTATTCTCTCATGAACAAGTCCATGTCAAATTTTTGCTTTATAAGATTTTACCTTTTCAGAATTAATACAAAAAGGCGGCTGTCTAGTCTCATCTTCTGAACATTATTATTTATTTCTATTACATCGGGGACACATCCATTACATCCATAGGTCGAGTTTCTTCACAAGATTTGTTTGTCACTATTCCATCATATTTAACATTCCTTAAATTTCATCATGGACATTATCTATTAGATTTATCCTGTATGCATCACAAACAATTATCACATCTGTTGCATTCAGGCGAAAGTGGCAAGAATATCTCCAAGAAATTATCTACAAGCGACATTGATAATTGTCTGGACAGAATAATATCATCTCAAAGATTTTTACTGCCATAAGGTTAGAAATTGATTTTCTTCATTTTCACTTTTAAATTCTTTTCTTTGTTATTTATCATTCCAAGTAATGAAACGAACGTCAAGGGAAAATTTTATCAGCCGGCTGACATCGCTAATTTATTTAATTAATTAAGTAATATTTTTTTAAAAAAAAATAGTAATAAAAAAAATTAATATTTAATCACCTTTAATATGTTGTTTTGATGGCCTAGTAATTGTTTCTAATTCTATTTACACCATTACACTTTTCATTTAGTTTACTTTATTGCAATTCTATTAAAAAAGATAAGCAATTATGAGTATTGTATATTTAATCGTAATATTAATAAAAACATACATTAACTAATTTGCGAGAGTTTTTGTTTTTTAAAGGTGCTTTCTCAATGTAAAAGTTGTTTTTTTTTGACGCTGAAATGAAGAAAAGACCTTGAAATATATATTTACAAATCTTGTTTGCAAGATTTTTGTCTTGTTAACCTCCAAAATAAAATTATCAACGATATTGATGAATTGGTAAAAATGGTTGAAGAGATGTATGTATCCTTCATTAAAATGCTTTTTTTACCTTTTTACATCAACTCAAGAAATTCGAATGAAATCAATCAATCAATCAATCAATCAATCAATCAATCACGTATTATTTTTTCCGATAGTACAAGTTTACATACCACAAAAATTAAAGTTTTGTTAGTAATACTAATACAAAGTTACGATTTCACATTTGTTGATAATTAAGCACAAGTTTACCTATGCCGCCAACAATTATTGACCAATTTTTATGTAATACATTGTATGCAGGAATGATCATAATATCACGTGATGATGACGATTTTTAGATCTCAAATTTGCTGTTGTGGTGCAAAAAGGTCATTTTGTATTCAAGTCATCTTGGGTTGCCAATATATGCCTAGCACAACAAGCCAAAGGTTCTTCAAAAGAAGTTTGTAAGAAGAGAATAATAATGAATGAAGGTTATTTTTATATTAGCAGTTGCAAGTTTAGGGTCAAAATTATATATATGGAAAATATTATATGTAACACACAAGGCACATGACTTTTAAAAGCTATATAACCAATAAAGCTTTTATCTAGATGATAGATTATAATAGCTGGGAAAAAGTTATCAAACATCGTCTTGATTTTTTTCGGATAAACACTCGATATTTCCCTATCAAGTTTCAAGGTTGATTTGTGACCTACACTTTTTTATAGACCATTTAAAAAAATCAGATATAGTAGTAATTAAAAAAATGGTAATGCATATTCCGATAACCCTTCTGGGCATAATAACCTCTAATTTTTGGCCTACTGTTTGATAATTGTGGTCTTGCGATAAACATTTCGGGCCCAAGTTGGCCCATCAATAAAGATAATTTATTATTTAATTGCTCACAAGTTCGCTGTGATAAAATTAAATTTTGAACTAAATTTTGATACCTTCGGTAATATCATGGAATAGTGACCTAAAATTCTTTCAATATAAATAATCCGGATCGTCTGATTGAATCAAGGCTCTCTTCCATTAAGATGTTATGGAACTTTCAATCAATTACTTGAGAACTATTTATTTAATTAAAAAAGTTGTTATATATTTTTTAAAAAAAAATGCACAATAATAATTTAATGATAACTGTTGTACGTGTGAAAATGAAATTATGTGAATTGAATTTGCAATTCACATATGTGAAATTCAAATTAGCCAATCGGAATTTCAATTTCACATTTCAATTTCACATACAACAATACCGAATACAGAGTTGAGAGTTCAATGGCTTTTGAATTGCTTGGCACATTAAATATAATCGACTCCTTCCTTCCCTTATAAGTTACCAAAATTATCATATCATAATTTAAAATTATGCATATCGTAATTGACAAATGCACAGTGGTAGTTTAATGATACCCAAGCATTGTGTTGAAAATCCAATGACTTTTAAATTGCTTGGCACACTAAATATAATCGTCTCTTTCCTCCCTTTTAAATTGCCAAATTATCAGTTCATTACACAAATACAAATAAATTCTACTGTAATACTAATATACAAAAAAATTAAAATTTCCGTGCCACATATGCTACATAATAATAATATAAATAATAATTTTGTTTACATACCTTTGTTAAATAATAGAGATGTTGTTCTGGATGTAAATCTTTTCCCATATGCTTAACTGTGATTGGTTTCCAATATATATGAGGTGGAAAATCGCAATTTCTTTAAATATGATTAATGAATGTTCTTGTACGGAGGGTTCTTACATGGAGATACGATTGTAACACAAAATTGTCTGAATTTTTAGGTTTTTCCGCGTTTTGCGAATCGTATCACGAGTCATTATTATTATTATTGGAGTCACAATGAATACACAGACAGACTCGATAAGTCAGCCGCATAATTTATACTATTGAGTACTTTAAACAATTGATTACTGCGGACTGACTTATCGAGTCTGTCTGTGTATTAAATTTAAACGATTATTGTAAATTGTAGGTAATGGCGTAGACAAGTTATAAAGCAATCGTTGTTATTGTCGCTGTTGTTGTTGTGATAAAATTTGAGTTATCGTGACCATGTCGTTACTATTGTTGTTGTTATTTTGATTATACCGTCCATAAATTTGAATTTGGTGGCGGATTTGAATTTGTCGAATTTGCTGACCATAACTGTGTTGTTGTTGATCTAGATTTTGAACTTGTTGAAGATCTTGTTGTTCTTGAGAAAGATGTTGATGGAAATTTGAATTGGTTGAAGAAGAGCTTGATTGGGATTTGGAGTTTTTTGACCATATTGACTTTGTTGTCGATGATTTAATCATTTGTTATTCGTTATAAAATTTTAAATAAAAAGAAACCAATATTTTTTATAAACTTTAAATTATCATAATAAAAGTGTTGATGACATAGTGGTCGGGCCCAGATGAATGTACCTTTATGACAATGCTACACCTGTTAATATCAATTTAAAACAAAAAACTAATTATAAGAATTAATCACTTCTGTTTTTCTGCTTCTTTTTTTTAAAAAAACCAAATAATTAATATAATAAATATAAAACAAATCAAAATGACTTGTAATTATTAACAAAATGGTTCATCAAATTCTAAATACCGATCAAGTTCTTCAGAAAGTTCAAAATATCAATCAACCAGTCCAAATCAACAACAACAAATTCAAATCCTAGGCCGACAAAATTTTGATTAGCATCAATAACCAAATATGCACACAACAGCAAAGTTATGGTCAACAAATTCAGCAACAACAAATTTCAAATTTACGTCCAACACGTCCACAATCAAATTCAAAATTGTGGTCAATATAATCAAAGTAATATCAACATGACACATGATGATGACACCCCAAGTTTTACCTCAACAATAACAACAATTACTTTATAACTCATCTACAACTTATAGTGAATACCTAAATTTAAATATTTCTTCGTCCAATAATATTAATCATGGCATCAAAAGAGATAATGATCCTTTAATTTTAATATTAAGAACTTTGATCGTTTGTTGATGATTAAAGATTGTATTACAAACACGATTTTTGTAAGTCAAGACGTTGATATGATTGATTGTTCATTTTTATCTATTTACCTATTCTTTGATATGGAGATGTTGTATGTGAAGTTGAAATATTATGGAGTGGGGTGAAATTCTGATTGACTAATTTGAATTTCACATATGTAAATTTGAATTTCACATATGTGAATTGCGAATTCACATAATTTCATTTTCACGTACAACAGAGATAAGCTATTTGTTATAGAATTTGATTTTCAAAAATGTACATGAGAAAATCTCTTTTAATATCTGAATCAAAAAATATTGAAACTTTAATTCCAACATATATTTTATTAGGTCAATCTTGAGCATAGGTCCGCTATATTTATAATTTCTTCTTAATATTCAAATATCTGCCCCAGAGTCTAGCTCATGCCTTCATGCAAACAAGCGATTATTAAGAGTGCATTACTAGTTTACTATATAAAATTTATAGCAACGTACCTCAAAGACTCAGTCTGATTCGGTACGGGAGAATATAGTTTTCCCAATATAACAGAGTTGTTGCTCTAGGAAAATTATATACACATTATTTTATGAAGTTTATAATTATTATACCTATATTCTGTAAAACAAACAATTTCTTTTTTAATGATCTTACAAAGTTTTAGTAAAGTTCATATTTCTGTTATTGTAATAATTTAAGTGATTTTAGCTGAATTCATTTATTAGAAATGTATTTATTATTTATCTTAAGCTATATAACGATATGAGTAATATGGTTTTTGGGAATGGATTTAAATATGGTCCCCTTTTATATTAATTATAATTGAAAACAGAATTTTATTAATAAATTATATCATAACGATAACGAATTTTTGACCACAAGACTATTAATAGGCAAGAATCTAGCCCTACACATAAAGGTAAATATTTTATAAGAAAGTCTCCTACTTGGTGATGTTAGTCGGCTAATAATCTGCATACATAATTTCTAAATTTGGTAATAGATTTCTGCATTACCTTCTTGTTATAGAAATAAAATTACCAATTTAGGTAGTAAACGGCTTAGCCGGCTAAGGATTTTTAAACGGCTAACCATACACAAGTGCACATCCAATAAAAATCGGTTTTCCTAAAAAGGATATTCAACAAGATAGAGAAATAGATTTTGAAAAAATCTAGTATTATCCTAAGTAAAACTATCAATTGACGATTGGATTTTTAATTTAGTTGTGCAAAGGCCTGAGGTAAGCCAGTTTAAAATTTTCGGTTAATTAAAAGACATTTTGAAACATTAACTTTGTGACTGGAATCAAAATTGAAACATGTTCGATGTGTAATTGCACAATTGCAATATAATAATAATAATAATAATAATTAACAAAGGTTCAGAAGTTGTCTCATGTATCACGAATTAAATTATAACAGTGTGAGCGCATCTAGTCTGAGCCGAAGAACATCTGCAGTAATATTGTGACCTCACTAATCATAAGTCTTTAATTATCCATAACTTTATTGATTATCTTGTGAAATGTTGAAATTAAATTTTTGCAAGAATTCTATAGTGCAAGCCCGAACTTTTGAAAAATTTAAACTTAGAAGTTTAAAATTGATGTTTTCAATTTTTTGATGATGATAAATTTATGTGTGTAATATAATAGACGAAAACCAAATCAATGCGTGATATGTGTAAATAAAACACGATTGTCATTTAAATTTAAATATTCGCTCACATGTTTTATAATAATAACAATTGTAAATATTACTCTTTTTAATTTTATTATTATTCTTAAATGTTCAACAAAAACTAATTAACAACTTAAACAAATACCTTGTAATATTAATCTACCCACTAAATTAAGCATCTGATCTAATGTTGGTTTCCAAAACTAGAGAGTTTTGCAACTGTGCGAAAGTCAAAAGGTTTCGCCATAAGTCGAAACTAGTTTTGACCTTTGACTTTTGACTTTTGATTTAGTTTTGACATATAAATTTTAATTTTGACTTTCGCTTCTTCAAAATAGTTTCGGCAAACAACATTAATCTGATCATTGTTAATTTTCTTTTAAATTGGACCCGAGTTAACTTAAGGGCGGTCAGCTGCTTCTCTACTTCAGAATCATAGTGCTGCGGCTGCATTAGCATTTTTAAAAATTTAAATAATAGCAAATTGTTGTTTAAATGTATTAGTTTTTTGCCTAATCTTCTAAACATAAAATTTTCACATACTTATTCTCCAAAACTACAGCTATCATTTTCAGACAAATAAATTCATGAAATAAGTATCAAAACAAGTTTGTGTGCAGGATAAGATGTACGATGGATCCAAAAGGGAAAGCATCAGTCATAAAACTAGTTTATTTATGTCATGTGGCCTGTCACACTTGAATACAAAAAAAATATTTGGCAAAACTTTTAAAGGCCATTAAATATATATTTTCATTATTGCAATAGTAGCATTTGATTTAAACGGAATGGATTCAACAATTTTGGAAAAGTATTTCAATGAAAATGAAAGATTATTAAACACAGAAGATTTTTATGATGTAAAGATATATCTTGGTGCAGAACCAAACACTAAAGAAGTTCATGCACATGCATCCATCTTATCTGCACATTGTTCATTCTTTGGAAATGCATTAAGTGATGCAACAAAAGAAAATGGTTATTATATTGTTAAAGAAGCTAATATCAGTGAAAAATGTTTCAAGCCTATTCTCAAGTAAGTTTAAATAAATTTATTATTTATTTTAATTATTATTGTATTGTATACATAATGATAATCTGTTTAATAATTTATTTATTGCTGAAAGATTTTTATACACATGTAAAATTGAATTTGAAGATTATTCTGGAGCTGAAGTAGTAGAACTAATAATTGTTGCAGAAAAACTTGGTATTGAGACACTTTATGAATATATGATGAAATATTTTACCAAAAATCATGAAGATTATATTAAAAAAAACCCAGTTAAAACCTTACAATTGATTTATGCCAATGAAAAATTTAATGAATTGAAGAATATCTGCTTGGAAAAGTTTTGCAATTATAGTGAAAAATTTTTTGAATCAAGTGAATTTGAATTGTTGGAAAAACCAATTCTATTGGAAATTCTCAAAAAGGATGATTTTTCCATTAATGAGATGATTATTTGGGAAAATGTTCTTAAATGGGGATTGGCAAAACATCCAGAAATCAATAATATAAATGTTGAAGATTGGTCATTACAAAATTTTGCTGATTTAGGCAACACATTAAAAGATTTTCTTTCTTTAATAAGATTTCAAGATATTTCAAAAGAGGATTTTTTTGATAAAATTGAACCATATCAAATGCTTTTTCCTAAAACTTTATGGAAACCCCTTTTACAACTTTATTTGATTCCTGATAGACAACAAACATTAAATTTATTACCATCAAGGAATCCAAATTCAACACTTGAATCATTGACAATCAATCAAAATCTTACTTTGCTTTTTGCTAGTTGGATTGATAGAAAAAACCCACAATATAGTTCATTATGGGAAGTTAAATACAAATTTAAACTTATATATCGTAGCAGCAGAGATGGTGATAGTGTAGCTGCATTTCATCAAAAATGTGATAATATCAATAAAACTCTTGTAGTTGGCAAAATACAAAATTCAGATCAATTAGTAGGAGGATATAACCCACTTGATTGGAATTTAAATAATGGAGTTGACATATATAAAAATACAACTGAAAGTTTTATTTTTAATATTGGTAATAGAAATGATATTAATTCTGTGCAGTTTAGTTATGTAATTAATAATCAAGATAAAGCAATTTATTGTCATTATGAAAATTTAGCTATTTTTGGTGGTGGTTGTGATCTTATTTTTAGGCCAGGAGGTGTTATCAATAGTTATATTTATAATAATCCAACTTCTTATAATGACATCAATATAGTAGACAATAGTAGATATGATGAATTAGAAGTGTTTCAAATAATTGATAAAAAATAAAATTACAAAAAAATAATTTATTTATTTTATTATTTAGCTAATATGGATAAGTCTTTAATTATTATATTTAAAGACTATTTATTTATGATATTTTTTTTATTTATGTTGTGTGCGGGAAGATGAAATCTACGTGAATTTGCAATTCACATATTAATATGTGAAATTCAAATTTGCCAATCAGAATTTCATATCCAAACACCCCAAAATTTTAATTATAAATTTTAATTTCACACATTTATTTTCTGTGACGCTTCTATATATAAATATAAAGGAAAATTTGAGAGTCAGATTACTTTCGATTTTATTAAAAGCTTGCCTTAAAATTTTTCTTGAAGATACATATAAATTTCAACTTTGGTGGAGCAATACTTATAATATCAAAATCTGGATAGATATATGCATATCATGCGATGAAGATATTATTATCATAAATAGGAGACATAAGATACAAAAGCGGTATTTAATTATGGAGAGGTGTGTAGCGAATAATCTCAATTCAAATATTCTAAAATATAGTGGAAATTATCTGATGTAATCCGTGCGTAGTATTAGCTTTTTTTCAAATGTATGAATTCATCGAATTTATGAAATTTTTGTTAATCTTCCATAAGATGTCTAGGTGAAGTCACAGTAGAACTTTTTTCGGCACGCCTTTGTGATCTAGAAAAGAGCGCTTGAAATTAATTACAATAGTGATATTCTATAAATGAAAACAATCTTGTAGATAAAACAAAATTTTTAATGATTACTCGATGAAACGTGCCCGTAGTATCCACGAAACCAAACACTTCATCACCACTTGTCTGCCGTATTGGGATTTCAACCTCACGCATCTGACAAAGTCTGTGTATGTCCGAATCTATATTTAAACGCAACATATTTCCTATAACATTTTAATGCGGTGTTAATGATCATCAAACCAAAATTCAATTCTAAAGATATCACAAAGAGGAGGATGGAATCATACCAGAAACTTGTATTCCAATAATACCAAAACTCGTTTCAATCTGATTCACGCCCCTTGCGAGACCAGGCTATCCAAACATTCATTTCTTGCCACAACTTCACGCGATAAATTTCCTTTTTTTTGCTCATCACAAAACAAACAGGAGCATTCAGAATACATTAGCTCATAAATTTTTCATCACGACTTACCATGAATATAATATCTGGACATTTTCCAGTATCTCCCTTTTGGTCTTTACTAGCTGTATTTTGATGCTCTGCACTGAATAATAAACACGTTAGCGAGTGATCATTTTTAATAAAGCTAAATACTATAATTTACGTGCTGACGAAGCCAAATTTTCCAACTGGGAGATTTTTTAGTGTGGCCCGAATTATAGGAACTATTATATCAATTACATAAGTCCCCTAATTCAATGTTTAGCAAATTCAAATCTAAAAGCTGAGTTTTTTCCAGACTTCATCTCTATAATCATATGGTATATTTCCAGTGGTACGTCATCCGTGATATTAAATACTCACAGTATCCTCTTTGTAGTTTTACAAGTTCCTCATCAGACTCTTTTCCAGCTATTGTCGTGTGATAATTTATTCCGCAATTCCTCAACTGAATCGTCACTGAAATTTGCAACAAAGTCCCAACACGCCCCTTTAGGTATATCTGGAAGAGTCGCTGACATTTGCTCTAATAAAATATTATAGATTAGCATACCATTCAAATGGATCGTCAGAAATAACATTTCAATCTTCTCACCATAAACTGATCACTCGACTAGCGAATAGATCTCTCTCTGTAATAAATTTGAAGCTTTAATAATCCCTTCTATATTGATGCGCAATTCCTGTGCAAGGGGCGTTGTGCTTTTCGGATGATAAAATGATTTAAACGCTCTCTTTCCATGTATTCCAAGATCTAAATAATAACAAAGAAAATGAACGTATTTGCGCGATTAACCAAATTCGATTAATTACCTCGTGTAAATTCATGCATTGCACAGCCTCATAAATGTTGTACAACATCATGTTAAAAGGTATAGTAAATATATTTATCTTCCTTGCTCTTTTTCAGATTTCAGAAGCTGTTTTTTGCACCATTACAAATTGGGTCCTGTACATCATGGACAGGTACTCTATATGGCATAGGGATGGCCCCATATAACACAACAAAGGAATCGCGTGATTCAAATTCAGGTTTAAACCAGTTCCTGCTTACTAATTTATAAAAAATGACACTATCAATAATTGCTTCATATTCATATTTTTTCTACACAATAATGAATTACCGAGAAAAGGGCAATAAAGCATTTATTGATGGAGAATTCGAGACCGCACGACAAGAGTATACTAAAGGAATCGAAGTTGCACCTGAAGACCCACGATTATGGTCAAACCGTGCGCAAACCTTTATTAAACTAGGGTATCCTGAACTTGCGATAGTTGATGCCATTAATGCCCGCTCTCTCATTGAACCAAAGATCGTTAGTGGTAAATATAGTGATGCAGATCTGGCGTTGTTTTGTAAAAGTGGATGGAGAGAAGCGGTGGCATTGGCCAAGTGCGATGGATTCGTGTTAGCAGGAAGAGCGTTAGATAGGATATTTCAAATTGTTGTTAATAAACGACCAGTGGCAGGTGTTGATTGGAACGCATGGGAACGTGAAAAGGATAACTATTATGAAAAACATTACCAACATGTGGTGGCTCTTAGTAAGGTAGGCTCAGATCGGCACGCGATGGTCGAACAAGCTGGAAAAATGTGCAAGTTTCCAAATCGTGGAGCTTACCCGTGGGACATTCGTAGTCGAGAGCGTTGCACCTCAGAGAGTCTCGCTTCTATTCAGAAACTTTTGGAAAAGATCTCCGGAAAGAGCATCAAAGTGTCATTAGTTAGCTTTCCCAATGCTTCTCAAGCACACGAATTCGGCATAGTAGCAACAAAGGATATAAAAAAAGGAACTATCTTGCTTGAAGAAAAACCGCTTATTTCAGTTCATGCTCCTGGTCAACAGCGATGTGATTTTTGCAACGAACAAGCCGGTTCGAAAAAGTTCTTTTGCCCGAAAGCAAATTGTTCCGAAATCTTTTGTAATAATGATTGTTTCGACAATGCTTGGGAATTATACCATCGTGCTATCTGTGGAAAAAATCTTGATTTGCTGTATGAAATAGTGAAAAAAGAATCTCCATTCTCTGGTTCTTCTCTCCTAATTGTTCTCAAAATCTTTGCCATTGCCAAACAACGAGATATTTGTCCCTTGGATATTGAAGAGATGAAGCATCTTTTCCCCTTCCAACATTCGACTGCATGGTTCCAGCACGGTCCTATGGCTATCGATTTCTACTTTGAATTAATGAAATTATTGGAAATTCACACTTTCGACTTACGATACGAACCATGGATCTACCTAACAATTTATAGAAAGACTAAACCCAATTCTTCTTTTTTTAATCCTTTGACATCAACTGGACAATTTTACCCAATAATATCTCTTTTCAATCATCATTGTGATCCAAATGCCGGGATTTCTGACGATGCAACTAAATCAATTAAACGTGGAAAACCATTTTCGTTAGGTGTGACTTTGTCAACACGAGCTCAAGCAACTCGTAATATAAAAAATGGAGATCAAATATTTATTAATTACACGTTAGGGCATGACCTTAGTATCTTGTCAAAAGTCGGTAACACTGTAAGAGCATCCGGCAGTACTAAACATACTCGTCAACTTCTCGAGACTAGTTATGGGTTCCATTGCAGGTGTTCCGTGTGCGACTCTTTATCTAATTGAAAATTGATATTTACGTATTAACGGTGTTACAATATAGTATTATTTTAATCTTGTTTATTATTTTATATGTATATTTTTGCATTTTTATCCATTAAAGATATGGTATATGAATTTTAATTATAATAATGCTCGGTCAACTATACCAGTTAGAAATTCATGCATGATTTATTTATGTGACGATCTAATTGTTGCTATAAAACCTAATTCAATTAACCAACTCGTGGTGCCTATTGATTACATCCACTTGGCCTACCGATATCTGGAAACGAATGGAATGAGTGGACAGCAGCGTGCTTGGTCTGATTTCTCACATGGTGCACACCAAAGTCAAATGCAACAGTATGTGTTCACCTACCTGATCCACTTTAGAAATCGATTTTATGGAGCATTTTACTATTACGTGTTGCAGATATAGCATGCTTATGTGATAAAGCAATTTTATTAGTTGAGAGATTGTATGTCATAATAAGTACAAGTTACTAGACATCTGGATTTGAATTAAGAAGGTGCTTTTTTTCATAATTTATATGAAGTGTCTATTATCTTAAGTCGTACAAGTGACACCAGTTGCTAAAACATATCCTCCAGGATATTTGCCAGCATCTCGTATATGTTATCTAGGAATCCGATTAAAATAAGTCCTAGGAAAAAATTCACCCTAGTAAAATTTAGGACAAACCCAAACTATGGTTCTACAAGTTATGTGATTTATGGGCAGCAAACAGGTATGTACCACAACTCCATTATTTCAATCTAGCAATTCTAACGGCAAGCATAGAAAAAACTCTGATGCAATTTCAATAAAATCTAAAGCCCCATTCCTACAGTAAACTTTCAATTACAATGTAACACTCGAATATTGGAGGTCAGTTTAATCTTTTTTTTGGATACCTGTAAATTTCTGAAAATCAAAAATTAAATATTAAATAAAATGATTTAACACCATTTTGTTTTTGTTTCTTTGGAGTGTTTCAAAGGTAAAGCAACATGGCCAGGAGAATCTCCTTCCTCTTTTTCGTAGGGTTTTGACAGTATGTTTTTTGTAATTTAATGGACTTAAACAACAACAATGTAATGAAGAATTTTTAATAAAAAAAGCCTTAAGGCTTTGAAGTTAGTCAACATTTCAAATTTACCAATATATTCAACATAATTTCAGTTGCCATGCCAACAATTTATCAATTTATCAATTTACATTTGCTATTTTTGCTGACAAAAAGACGTCTTCCATCTCTCTCCTAAAGGAATTGATCATAATAAAGAAAATTATTTTTTATATTGGTAAAAAAATTTATTATATATAGTAAATTTGTAAAATAAATAATAATAAATTTCCTAATGTTGATGCTCCATGAGCAAATTTGAAACGTGTTTGTTAACGTGATCATTCAAATTCAAATCCGAATATATATATTAACTTAAGATTTAGATCTGATTCTAACATCTATTGTACAACAACTTAAATACTTTACATGATCTATTAAACTCTTCATTATTCAACCCGGATTGCAAACCTTGTTCACTACAATCAATTTCTTCTATCAAATAATTATAACAGTTTTTTTACATGGTTCTTCATTTGGATTAACTTTTTCAAACAAAACTTTGAAAAAAAATTTTCTATAATATTCAAGTTCCTTTAAAACACAACCAAAAACAAAGTAATTAGATAAAAAAAAAGGTGCTCGTTAACTTTATTTTATGAAGAATAATCAACCTTATTTGTATTGAATGATTTTCCTAAATAATTTATTATTTATTGTATTGTTAATGGAGAAACAATATAAAAAAGAAGATTTACATAGAGAAAGAAGCGGCGAGAGAAAAGACAATAACCGTCGATTAAAAACAATAAGATTGTTTATCTCTTATTTCGTGACCTTGGACTTCTTAGACAAAGGATTCGTCGGATGGGAGGATGCAGTATTCACCAAATACAATTGGAAGGACTCTACTAGAAAATCACTTTGTTAATGAACATTCTACTACGATAATTCATGATCACCACTAACATCACAAGCAAGCAAATTATATTCTTTTCTTGAAAATAAGTGTACGACTGAAGCTACACACGCGTTCACAAAAGAAATCAAACAATTTATTAATTGATTCGTTTTATTTTATATAATTTCACACTGAATAGTACACAAGGATGAAAATGCTGATTATAATGTAAAGAATTTGATGGCGGTGTAAGTGGTCTCAAGTTTATTTGATATAATTTGTTAATTTAATTTTAAAACCTAAAGGATTTTATGATTCGGAGAAAAAGCATTTCACTATTTGAAGTTCAAATTTTCTATCAAGTTTGGAATCATAGATCTAGATGATAATACAAAAAAACAATCGTTTGTATTCAATCAACTAAACTTAAAAATTTTATGAATCTTTACCCGGGAATATAAACAGACCTAAATCATTAAAATACAACAAATATGAAAATTTCAAAATGATGAGTTGATTGCACTTCACATTGGAAACAATTAATCTTTTCATATAAAATTTTTTGTTTTGCAACAGATGAAAGCTATTTCATTCAAATTGCATCTATCTTGGATGCTTTTGATTTTATTATATTGCCGTAACATATAAGGTAATCAAAAATATGTTATTATAGTTCAATAAATCTTGAAGTAGAGAAAGCGTTGATTCTTGGTATTCAACTTTAATCCACAGTATTGGAAAAAGAATTTGTACAAGCCAAAAAAGTAATCATAAAGACGAAAATAAGATAATATCTTATTATACGCTAAATTGGTAATTATAATTATTGCTGGACTTTTAACTAAGAAATATATGTAATTTTTATTAGATGTATTGAGATGATAGGATCAATTATGTATCTTGCCGAATCTGAAATATATATCAAATACAATTATTTAAATAGAATTCCAAATGTTTTCGAAGCATTGCCATTTTGAAAAAAAGCGCTGGTAAATTTAGGGGTGGATATTTTATTGCTATTACTATAATAAATATTTAGGCTGCTGTTTACGAAGCATCTCAAATCTATAAATATACTTTGATGCATGAACGTCACAAGATCAAATTGCGTGGGATTGTAAAAAGCACTATCAACGATTATTAAAGAAGAAGAGAACAATATAATTTATTTTTATTATTGACATAAATAATAATATAATCCATATAATATGATGTGACATAAGTGATAGTTCATTATTTTGTAAAGGCGCATAGCCAAGATCAATTGCAAATTGAAATACATTCTCATGAAAGACAGATATGCCTTTTGAAAGTTTCTCTCATTATTGAATTTTAAGAAGGGAAAAATATAAATGAAGCATTCATAAAATTCCCAAAGTCCATTGGCATTCTTCAATTTATTGAAAGTTAAAAATTTGTTCATCCACTCTGCTCTCCAAAGTACAAGGAGACTTGTTTGCAATTTAGGATTGACGAATTTGGCCATGACTTTATGTCCTTCTAGAGAGGTAGAGTCAAATTATGTAATAAATAATATTAATAATTACTTTTCACAAGGTTTAGAATGATCGTAATTTATGCATCGAGTAGGCAACAGTAGTATTTTTACTGTCCAAAAGATTTTTCAGCAAAAAGACATATAAGGAATTTGTTGCATTTCAGATTGAAGAGGTTCTTGAAAAAGTTGGTTTGCAGATGGAACTATTAACGTGGGGAAGTAAGAGAATAATCACAATCAACATCCATATACATTAAATCTGTGTTGTATTGCACATCATTTCAATTTGATATCTGGAGACATATTGAAAAATTTAGTTTCTATGTGTAATAAAATTGTTGAATTTTTATGAAATCACAGTGCAACTAAAATAAGGGCGGCGGGTCACAAAAGAAAATTACTGCAAAACTTAATGGGTATCTATCTGCATACGATACAGTTGAATCCTTATTAAAAATTTTATCAATGAATTTATGCCAAGCTTATTTTTATAGAGGTTAAGCAGCCTTTTTTACAAACAATGAAATTGATAACAATTTTGGAAATAATACAAATATTATTGAAAGATGTGATAATGATAATGCAAACCTATATAGAAGAAACATAATTTACGTAGATCATTCGAATTTGATTCAGGTAAAATACTTCAATCTATAATTATTATTGTCGATCAATGAGTTTTAAAAAAGACTTATTATAAATTCCAAGGATTTGATTTTAATTATTATCATATAATTAAAGGTATTAACCAATTGGAAGGTTTTGTCTATTTTTATTTATTAGAGTAATAAATGTTTGGTGATTAGATATTATGATAATTATCAAGTTGTATACATGGGTGTTGTAAAGGTAATAGAAACTCCCAAATTGTTTTGAGATTGAAATAATTTCGACTTTTGACATCAGCAAATCACTTTGGGTTGGATGTATAATTTTCATATAATTGAGTCAGTCAATGCCAATTTATAATGGATAAACATGAGTATTAATAAGAGTTATTCATTTATCAAAATATTTAATTAACAATGGCGCAAAAAAAAAATCTGGTACATATAAAAAAATAGACAAGATACATATGTTTTACATTTCTCGGATTCCAGAATTTCTAGGCTTTAATTCTATATTATTAATAAACACAATACCTTGCTAAGTTTTTTGCAGATAACAAAAATCAATTTTGTTATAAAGATTTTAATTAAAATTTAAGCTTAAACTTTGAATAATTGAGAAATGTAAATAAAGCATTCTATTTTTATAAGTATTAGATTTCTAGCATATCTGATATGATTACGGGCAATAAAAACATATAAATCGAAATACTAAGGATGCAAGTATTAATATACTTCTATTGTATTAACTAGAAGAGCCAACTGAGATGTGCTATTCATAGTAACTCTGATGTTTTTTTCGCGCCAATGTTTGGTGTTATTAAGTGATGAAATAATTAAATATGGCGAGATTAAAGAAAAGTTCAAGTTAAGGTGGTAGTATTATTGTTTTTATTAATTCAACTAATAATGATCAAAATGTAAAATAGAATAATACTGATATCTAAAATGCGTAATCATAAAATTATTAATATCTATGCGCATTTATTATCTTTACATAACTTACTGCTGCATGCTTCATTCACCATGCAAATAGTTAGAGCCTTACGAGTATCGGTAAGTTGACATTTCTTGATATCATTACCAAGCACACGACAAACCTTAGATATACAACTATTGTCATCGGAGACGCCGTCGCAGGGTTGTCCTATGTTAACTTTACATGTTTCGCTACTAGGATTACGTACTTCTCCAATATTACAATCATTATTGTCCGAACAATGAAGCACTGATAAATGTGCACAAACGGTTAATAAATATCAAGATATAAATTTACAAAAAAAGATTTTCTGTGAATTTGCAAAAAAAATCGTTTTGTGCGTGCATTTAGAACAGATCAAGATACATACATATTCTTCTTTTGATGATCCTATTTCCACCGTTGATGCTCATTGCGCCAACAAAAATTATAGAGAAAAGCGTTGCAAAGAGCAGGATTAAAATAGTTTGTTTCATTATTGAAAATTTGAAGTGAGTAATTAATATTAATGATAAATCAAATTGTTGTTTCTAAAGTGGATTTGCTTCATGATTTTTGCAAAAAGTATTTATATATTTTTATTTAGTAATGTATTTTTCCGCAAAAATCATCTGCAATCGCCAAATCGATTTCTAAATAAGAATAACCCACCAATAAAATTGGATACTTTCATGATGCTGCGCAAAATTGCGGATGATTTTTGCGGAAAAATACATGATTTTAATTAAAAGTTTCACGTTTGTAAATGAGTGGCCAATTTTCTTAAAAAGTCAAACCATTCATTACACGATTCAATGTCTATTTTTTTTTGCAGTTCTAATGAGTAATAATTGGATTCAATATATTTTATTTTGCTTTTGCGCATGATAGGACATTTGGTATTAATCTGGAGAGAGTTGTTACGCGTCCATTAATCAGAATACATATTGATATAATGATTATTATTTAGAATAAATAACTTGATTTGTAAAATGCTATCCATAAAATATATTATATAAGTGAAGAAAGATGTGACTCTAAATTAACACAAAAAAATTTTAAATCATCCACAAACCTATTATTCCTTTATGTAATGGTGCAATTGGTAGTGCATTCTTGGATTCCATGTGATTGTACTGGCTATTTTTTATCATGTATTTTAAATATAATTGATTAATATATCTTGATTAAAATGATTAAAATAAAAATAAAATAACAAACGTGACTTAGCTTTTTTATTACTATTTAATTCTTTCTTCATACATGACCCACTGTTAGATGTGTCTATTGGCATAACAAATAATTGCATCGTTCGAGTAATAATAATACTAAGACCATGCAGAAATAAAACTTTTAATGTATGTCTCTAGGGTTTATCAATAAATAATAAGTAACCCTATCTTCCCTTGGACTAGGTACTATTGATTCTTTAAAAATCATGAATAAATCTGATGATATTGATCACAAGTGTCAGATTTAATAAGTTTTCCTATTACAAACATACGACAATTATGCTTTTGCACGCCTTCATAGCCATGAAATATTTTACACGGTTGAGCCATGGGCATGTTTGAAGGCCTTGGACAAGAAGGATTTTTAGCCAGTGTTGTCACCAAAACAATTGTCATTATCACGTCAAATTAATTACCAGCTGCCAAGGCAATTTAAAAAGATCCAGAAAAGTTGTAATCCACGACCCAAGCACCAGCCATTTTGAAGAGCCATCCTACTGGCTTGGTAGAGTTGTTGTTAGCGATTTCCGAGTTGGTCACTTCGTCGATTGTTGACGGTGAAATAAACAAATTGTTGGTGCCACTGGCTTTAATACATCTCCTTGACAACGATGCAATTCACAAACTTCAGAGCTAAGCACCCCCCCTGAAGTTTAGCCACATCATCGTACCATCGGGGGATGCAAGTCAACTTTGCCTTAAATCACATAGGAACCAGAAGAATGATTTAAATGACTTAAATATAAGTTTACGTCTGATAACTGTCGCGTATCAAGTTGTTTTGCATTTCCAAAGAGCCCAAACGCGTACAGTTTTTCGTATGTGAAGGTGAGATCATGTTGTCTTTAGCGTCTCTGACATTTTTTATTATTATAATTAATGATAATATTAATAATAACAATGAAAAAGCACACCAATCATTTATCATGATAAATAATCACCTTCGCTATATAAAAGATACAAGTTCTGTTTGCATGATATTTTCTAAAAAAAAAAACAAGGCAATAAGTGCAATCAGTATGAAACAATAAACTGATAAAAACGACGCGTCTTTGAAAACATACCAAAATGTTTTGAAAAAAAAAGATGTGTTGCACAATAAAAACGTCATTAAAAATTTTCCGGGTGGGCTTTTATATATAAAAATTTGATGGGTTACCGGGTCATATACAAGAACCGAAAAATAGAGTTTGTGCGGCATTATTACAAAATTTTCTTTGTGAAAATGGTAATTTCATCAAAATTTCCCACTTTTTTCTTTTCGTCGATATGCTCTTGGCGGTAAATAACATTTCGTCAAGTATCTTTAACTCTGGTCTTGTGGGATTCTATTAAGTTTATAAATATTTGGCAGTTTTTATTTATATTAAAAAAGATTATGAATTCAAATTTGATATATATATACGAAGCTCTTATAGTATCTGTGTACCCCTTTCATTTATAAAAGAAAGTATGTTACCGATTACTGCTGTTAAAAGATATACTTTTTGAGTTCATTGAAAGTAAGAATTTTATTTGATTTTATTAAAAATAAGCATTTTGTTTCATCAAATGGACAGAAATTAGGAAATATGAATAGCTTTCCTATTGTTTTTATTCAAAGCAAATCGATTAGGCGTGCAAATTTTTCTGATGAACAAAGAAATACATGATATCAAATGTATCATAGTAAACTTTTTGATAACGAACAATTTTAATTCAAATCTTACTGCAGGAAAAACAACATAAAGCCAATTAAAATCTTCGACTAGTAACTGGTCACTTGTGCCACAAACTTGAACAAAGTGAAATTTAATATCTTTGGCCTGTTCATTATTTAGATGATGCTTTAACAAGCCATTGAGAATGCTTGATTGATCCTCACCAAATGATATCGGTCTTCAATCTTTTCAGATGGTAAAGATTTGGCATCAAATTCCCATTATCCCACATATAATCACCACTGCCATTTTTAATCAAACTAGGAAAACTCTCTTCATCAACTTTTAATGTTGAAAATCAATTATTTGGCCGATAGAACATGATAATAATCGTTCTTATTGCGATGTTAATATAAAGGTTCAAAAAAAAAATTTTTTAATAACAATTGATGAATGATTATCTAAGGAATCTGACGTCACAACGGTAATCTTTCAAATATTCTGTGTTCTTGCTTAGGAGACAACAAGCTTTTCCCTTTAAATACACGAGATAAATTGTGAGAATGGTATGTTAGTCCACTATAATAAATGAATGTCTCCTACCAACCATCTTTGCTCTATCATTAGATTGCTTTTAAAATCAGATCAAATTCGGTCTATGATAGATCCTTTGCAAAATTTGATTTCTTATTTTAAGTATCAAATAAATAAAATGGTTATGAAAGCATGAATAAAGTATACAGTTGATCACTCACGTACTAAATGGAATTTCGATATTATTATCATTTCTCATTTTGGTTTGGCTTTTCTACACTAATTTTACCAGGCATTATAGCTGTAAAGAATAATAATTAACATATTATATGCATAAAGAACAACAAAAATGTAGGAAAAATGAAACACATACATCCTCGATATCTGAGACGAACAAATTACACATTGGAGTTCAGGAATTGGTAATAAATGTTAATAACTTATCATCATGAATTGTTTATCCTCCAGAAAACCATTCTTTCATATGTGCAGACAGGTCTATGGTTCGTGATTTATCATATCTTTTTCGATAACTGACAATCTCTTATTACAATCTTGACATTTTTTGGTACATGATTAGCAACAATACTGTCCACACATTGACTTGAAGACAAATCCTTTTTTTTGTACTCAAAAAGTAGCATGTTATCTGAAGCAGTAGGTACACCACCTTCATCATCATAACCATCATTGTTGTCACCACCATCGTTATCATCATATATTAATTGGCAACATTATTGTTGTTATCATTATCATCTAAATCGTCACCATCTTCTCATCTCGCCCTTTATCATCTTTGTCAGGTAGGTTTAATCCTTGAATCACGCTTCCATCGTTAAATCTGATAAACATATGCTCATTGGTACTATTTATTTCATATCATAGATGGCAATTCGTTGACAAGAAGTGAAATAATAATCTTGTTGAAGATAATTAATTTACTTGATCTGATTTTCTAAAATATAGTGACACAAAAAAAGTTTCAGAATTGAATTTTTATTTGTTGCGCAACGAAAAAAAGCCAAAATTTAGGTTACTTAAAACTACTTGGTAGCTTATCCTATTACCATTTTTCTCAATTATTTCATTTAATCTTGACGGCATACTATGAATTAAATTAACAAAAAATTTTTGTCGATTCCCTTCCATTCTTTCTGAATTATTTCACGAAAACCTTTCTGCAGTAAACTTTTTTTTTAATTAACACACTATTGACTTGCTTTTCAACACGCCCCTTTAAAATTTTCCACAAATTCTCAATTGGATTGAGATCTGGGCTATTAGATGGCCAATCCAACATTCTTTTGGACAGTGTTGTGCAAGAAGTTTTAGGGTCGTTATCTTGTTGTAAGATCCAACAGTTACCCATGATATTGTTTGCATTGTCAAATAAATTTTCCGTCAAATATTTTCGATATAAAGCACTATTCATAAATAATATAGTAAAAAAAAACCAATTAGACCTTTTACAAAAAAGGCGCCCTAGGGATGAATTTTGTATAGATGTTTTACCATAGCCTTGTGTGGATGTTGACTACCAGGTTTATAAAATACTTTTTGGGCATTTCTAAACATTTATAATGCAGTTTCATCGGAAAAAATGACTTTGTTCCAAATTTGTCTTTTGTATTTTATGGTAAATTCTATACGACATTGTTTGTGTTGGTTGGTAAGAAGAGGCATAGATTTTGGGACGGTGGAACGATATTGCAGTCTATAAAGCTTATTAAGTACTGTACGATTACTAATATTGAGATTAGAATAATGTTTATTTAAAATATTTGCAAGTTCGAAACGAGTTGAACGTTATTTAGGAGAAGGTTTTCTGGGTTTGCCAGAATGTTGCTTAGGGTCTAAAGAAATCTCATTATAGTATAATAATATGTTGTAGAGAGTGGAATGGAAGTTAATTCGTGCAAAGTATAAGCATCTCAAATGTTGTTTTCCCATAATAATAAAGTAGTTATGGTTTTACAACGTTGATTAATCAAAAAGTTTTTCATTGCGTTTCAAAGATAACCAAAACAAATAACATGCCATGTTACTCAAAAAATACTATTTTATTATTTTTTGATTGAATGCATAAGAAAATTGTGTTTATTTGGGAACACAAATTTTTTTCGTGCATGTAACAATTATAATGTTTGCCGTTTTTTGCGAAAATTAAATTTTGTTTATCCAATATAAAAAATGCATGATGTGATTCCACATAAATGATGAATTAAGATATCATTGTAGATGAACCCTATTTTATAACAATTACAATTATGTGTTTTGTGATATTCTATTGATTACACAGGTAAATAATTTAAATATAATTTGCTGTTGTCCTACATACAATTTTTTAAATCCCACAATTTACTATATATTACTATCTTCTAAATTTAGACCACGTGGCACAGCAACCGGATCGTGCGTGCTTTACATACGATTCTTTCTCGTCATGATTGAATTGTGTATCCAGTTTTTTTTTGATTTTAAATTAGTTGGTTACATTGCCATTTTTAATGAATGGCAGGATATACCAATTTTTTTCTATAATAGTTAATTCCAAATGGAAATTCAAAAATCCAGCGGAGCTTCTCGGAACTTTATTTCTCTGGTGATGATTATAGAGGGTCCTAAATGTTTTACTATAAATAAAAAATATATTTTTATCAAATAATTCACACATCCACGTTCTTTAATACGAATTCCAATAATAAAATTAACATCAACATTCTAGCCAACTAATAATCTGTATTCATTAATTTCTAAATTTGGTAATGGATGTTTACATTACTTTACTTTCTGGTTATAGGAATGAAGTTACCAATTTAGGTAGTAAACATTAAGGGTTTTTTTAAGCGGTTAACGATGAGTGTTATTGTTATCAATCAGATATTTTGTGTACTCACAACTTCACATGAAGAATCAAAATAATTTGGTAAAATGTTTTCATCAAAAATGACTAAAATCTTTGTCAAAACATTTACAAAGATGAGGCAAGAGTTTACTTTTTTTTCATGTCTTATGAAACATCTGGGTAAAAAAAATTTTTGGACGAAAAACTACTATTACTATCACCATTAATACTTTTCTACCTTTGTGTATGTGGTTTGAGCGAGACCTGTGTACCTTAGCCTCAATTAATTATTGTTTTGTTTGTTGTGGTTACATTTAAGTATACAAATTAATTAGTGGAACTAATATATATATAATTTCCCCTTATCTTTATTTTTCTAACTCATTAGTTTATTTACATTTAAACATTATCCTGGTTTCTTTTCTATTTATTGTTTTCCATTCTAAGAAAATAATTGTCTTTCTTTATTTTTTTCTTTTTTTACAAATATACATTGGCGATACTTTTTATAACAATATAAAAATCAACATCGCACAAGATGATTTTATACAAGTTGGCAGTTTTAGGAGATTGCGGTGTTGGAAAGAGTGCTCTAGTACGCCAGCTGTGTAATATATACGGCGCAACTTTTCAGAGAGATTTATCCATAAATGCAATAATTGAGGATCAACCTTGTGTGGTAGAAGTGTTAAGTACATCAGGGATAGAAGAATATATAGGACTTCGTGATCAGTATATTAGAGATGCAGACGGGTTTCTTCTAGTATACTCTTTAATATCACGTCCAACATTTGAACGAATCGAAAGACACAAGGATCATATAATGAGGATAAAGGACTCTGGAAAAGTTCCGATGATCCTTGTAGGAAATAAATGCGACAAGATTGATAAAAGAGAAGTGTTAAGGGAAGAAGGAATGAATATGGCCAAAACGTTGGGTTGTGATTTTATTGAAACCTCCGCAAAAACTTGTGTTAATGTTGAAAGATCTTTCTGTACAGCAGTACTAATGATAATGCTTAACATAGAAAGCAAGAAGTACGATAAAAGGAATAAAAAGAAAACGAAATGTTTAATTTCGTAAAAAATATAACGCAAATTTCAACCAACCGAGTTTATGGAATTTTTTGACGATGGTAATAACAAATATTCATCAATTCTCAATAACAATAACAACAATAATAATCTTAACACACCAACAATAGCAGCTTTAACAATAATATTGTTAGAAGCCTTAATATTAAAATTTAAAAACCATATTGATGATAGGTTGCTGATAATCTAAAAGTATTTATTTTTTCAGATTACAGACCAATAGTCATGTTCAATCTGAAAACATTTATTGAGATCAAGACTTGAGCAGAATACAAGGATTATACATCTCGAAAAAAAGATGATGAACCAACCTATTTGATTTTATTACTATCTAACTCTTCCTCGATTATTTAATCAGTTTTCTTCCTTCAAAGATTTCTGCTTTTATTAGGTAATTACTCGGTTTTTATCTATTGTCTTATTTTTTCTTGTAAACTTTATAAGTAATTTCCTCTTTCCTTAGATGATCATCTGGGTATCATTTAATAAGGAGCGATTTTCTCGCCGTATTCTTTTTAAATACTTTTAATATTATTGTAATTTTTAGATTTTATGTAGATTAATTTTTCATGTTATATTTTTGTATAAAATTGTTATTTAAATAAAATTATTAGAGCTTTATTATTAAAAAAACCATTATGGCAGAAATAAAAACAGCTAAAGGAGCTGGACAGAAAGAAAACATTATTGACTTCGAACACTTGGAGGTACAGTAGCGGGAGTATGAGGAGTATCATGGAATGATGATGATTTTAAAGATGCAACAAAGTAATTTTTTTCTTTGTGTCTTGTTTCAATTTTTATTAATTCCTAATTGATAGATAACGTTCACACAATAAATTAAAGTAACAAAACAAAAAGCATAAATTCAATATGGAGTTAGCAATTTCCCTTCTGGCTTGTTCTCGCTTTGTTGATGGGATTCTTCCTTGGTTTGAAATTCTTTGTAATTTGCTTTTTAAATTCTTCATTATTGTCACAAGTGAAAACTAAATCTAGTTTTTATGAGCTCGCTTGGCATTTCTTAAAGGATTCTTAAAGGAATTGCTTTTATTTTTTTATCCAAGGGCTAATTAGCATCTTGGAAATATTGTACAAAAACCTGGAATCGTGGAATTTAGCTAACGAGTGGATACAATCAGGAAAAAATCAAGAATTATCAGATGATTAGTTTCCTAACCGAAAATCAAATTTTTTACGAATGTTCGAAAATCAATTTATTCAAGGATATTAATTTATTTCCTAATTATTTTGGATACTCGTAATTATTTTTGGATATTTGTATTTATTTTGGATACTTGTATTTGTTTTGAATATAATCATTTCAAACATTTGTTAATGAATGATTATCAAAACTTATTTGTAACTTATCCTAATATATAACAAACATTTTTCAAAGATAATAAAGATAACATATATTTTTACAACTATTAAAATATTTGTTCTCATTTAAAAAGTAATTCTTACAAAACCCAAATGGAATTTGCAGAAAATTATCCTAATACTTCAATTATATATTCTTACACCTGATAAAAAACGATGGTGATTTTTTTGATTTGTATGATGATATAATTTGTTAATAATTTTTTGATATAGCTTGAAATGAACAATCAAATTGATGGTGTCCAAAAAGAAACTTTATCAATTAATAACAAGAAAAAATTAATAATAGTTTGTTAGAATTTATATAAATATCTGAAATAATGAACATTAAAAATAATTACAAGTATCCAAAATAATCATGAGCATCTAAAAATAATTACAAGTGTCCGGAATAATTACAAGTATGAAGTTATAATTATGGTCAGGAACACTACAGATGATTCTATATGTTCCGAAGAAAGTCGTGGAACCATAATAATAAAGAAGCTGCAATTTCTACTAAATTGATCAAATATAGCAATTAGCCCAAATATGCTTATTATAAGCAACTTTATATCAAAAAGAAGTATCCAATTAAACAACATAATTTATGATGTAAAAAAAATGTTTAAAATTTTTGTTTTTGTTTCTTTTTGATGAAGGCTCGTATAATTAAATTTGAATTTTATGCTTTCGTTCATTGCTTTTGTCGCATATTTCTATTCGACTTTTACACATGCCGGAAATATTAATATTCATCATTGCTGAAACACTTTCTACACTCCAAAATATTTCCGACAACCAATCTTGGTACAATCAAAAGAAATTTGAGTAAGGTGAAAAAATTGTTCCTACGGAATAATTTTTTTTTTAGTGTGTAATAGTAACTCAAGAATATTTTGAGAATTTACATTTTCCTTGATTAAATATAAAATCCGGCGGTTTTTTCCAATAATCCCACTAATTCTTGCAATAAAATAAAATTAAAAAATCAAAATTAGGTCTAATTACAAAATGAATACTCTACAACAAGAAAACCTAGACCAACCAATCCAACCCATTCAAAATTTTAATCAATATTTTTTCCAGCAACAAAATCAAGACCAACAAACCCAATTAATTCAAAATTCCAATCAACATCTTTTTCAACAACAGCAAAATCAAGGCCAACAAATCCAACCAATTCAACAAAATATCAATCAGCAAGTTCAAAATCTTGACCAACAACAACAAATTCAGCAAGCTCAACATGACTACCAACAAATTCAAAATTATGGGCAATATAATCAAAATAGCAACAACAATGGCAATATGACGGTGACTCAAGCTTTATCTCAACAACAACAGCAACAACCATTATTTTACAACTCGCTCACATCATTGCCTACAATTTATAATGATAACCTAAATTTAAATATTGCTTCGTCCAATATTCATCACGGTATTAATAGTGATCCTTTAGATTTAAGAATTTCTGATCGATTGTTGATGATCAGAAATCGTGTTGTGACGATGAATCAACAATATATTGAATTGGAACGACAATATGTTGAGTTGGAACAAGATTTCATTTGGTTAAGATGCAGAGATACAATTAATAATACAATGGATCTGAATAATTAAAACATGTAATTTATTCAAAAATTTCATTAAAAATGATATCATACAAATAGCCATTATATCTATATTTTGTAAATTTTTGAGCTATATGTATTTTTGTACTTTTGATAATTGATAATAATAATAAAAAAATGAAATGAAAAGTTCGGTTATGTGGTTTATTTAATGTTCATTTATAAAAAATGTCGTCATAGAGAGTATAAACTCTTCCTTTTCCAAACTTTTTCAAAACTAGTTTCGAAGAGATTTTTAATAATATCTAAACTAGTTTTGAAAGGCCACTTTAACAGGAGGAGGTGCTTCATTTTAAAAAATTATTTTATTTCTCCCACAAGCAAATAAATTTTGGTATATTGGTATCTAAGTACAAGCAGATATTGAGGTTGAAATTCTTCAAGAAATCCTTTTACCCTAAAACAAATTATTTGCTCCGCTAAAAAAACTAATTTACTATCTATCAAGCCTGCGAACGAACACCCAACCTCAAAACCAATGGGTTTTTGCTAGTATAAAGTATTCATAATGTTATGATCATACCGTACTGGGTTTTGGAGTTCAACAAAATCAGCGCATATGGAGAGTTTCGCAACCGTACGAAAGTCAAAAGGTTTAGCCATAAGTCGAAACTAGTTTTGATTTTTGATTATTGACTTTTGATTTAGTTTTGACATATAACTTTTAATTCTAGTTTTGATCCTTTCGCTTTAAAATAGTTTCGGTCAACTAAAATAGTTAGTCGACTATTTTAGTCCTAGAAAACATAGTAAATTTATTGTAAGGAAAAGGGAAACGTTGGTCCTTTTTATAAGTTCATTTTTTTTTCTTTTTTATTCCATTTATTATTATTGATTGTTCATTTATTGATACGGAAAAAATATTTTTTATTATTATTTTAATTTATTGATACGGAAAATTTATTTATTGTTGATGTGGAAAAAATATTTATTATTTTAATTTATTTGACGTGGAAAAAATATTTATTATTTTAATTTATTTCATTTATTGATACGGAAAAATTATTTTTTATTATTATTATTATTTTAATTTATTGATACGGAAAATTTATTTATTTATTGATGTGGAAAAAATATTTATTATTATTTTAATTTATTTCATTTATTGATACGGAAAAAATATTTATTATGGATGCGGAAAAAATATTTATTATTATAAAAATTATTATTGACACAGAAAAAATATTATTTTCATTTATTGATATGGAAACTTATGCACATACGTAAAAAAATATTATCTAAAGAAAGATTTTTCATTAATTAATGTGAAAATTCTCACAAAAAATGCCATTTATTAATTTATCCAAAGAAAGATTTTTCATTTATTGATACGCCCATCTCTAAATCAATTCAGGCCACTTTTCTTTTTTCGAAATAAAAGAGATTCCATAATTAGTCAAATGATTATTCTGTATAATCTAAGGAAGCAGAGATTATTTTTTCGCGATAAATAAGAATCCAAAATCAATGAACTTTTATGGAAGAAAATCTGTTACGCAACATAGATGTCTCCGGTGACTGTTCGTTGAGCATTTTTCAGAGTTATCTGGTTATTCACAATATATATTCGTATTTAGAAAAAATTCGGACTTTCATAAAATTTTTATACCGAGTTCGATAAAATTTCAGATCTGACAGATAATCTACAGGCTAAATAAGACGGACCTCGTGTGATAATGAGTATTTATTCGCCTTTTTATACCATCCTTTATTATTTTAGCAAAAGCGCATTGGTATCAGCTTTTCCTTGTGAGATTTCACTTTCTCATTTTGTTGACTTTCATCTCTTTTGGATTTGGGAAATCGAATTTTCTGAGCTGAAACAGTATCATAGACCGTTTCTGATTATGGTTGCTTGCCAAAACTTCTCCGGAAATCAATCAGCAGAGTTTCGAGATATTACACGCCAATTTTTTATTAGAATTTCGGGTTTTGACAATTAGCAGAGTTTCGCCAGTCATTAAGAGGTTTTGGCAAGCAACTTTATTTTTGATGTAGTCAATCTCTTTTTTTGTAAAGCATTTTTGGAATAGAATAATTATTCACAATCTCCTTCCATGAAACACTCGAGGTATGTCGAGAAAACTTTGTTTCTGCTTACATATGAGAACTAACAATACCTAATGTTCTTAAAAACGGTTTTGTCTAATTTACAGACGAATAAGATCTATTCAAATTCTTTATGGTCAATCGTATCTGATGTTCGGAGGTAATTTTGAGCTATTCTAAAGTGGTTTTGAGGTGGTTCGATATTCATTGATATTCCATCAGATTATTCCTGGATGGTAGAAGTCACGACAATATAATATTGATCAATTTTTTACTTAAATCAATAAAAAACACAGAACACCTATGTCGTATAATAGATTTTGGTTAACTATCACGAAATAATCGACATTAATAAAATTTTACTCTGAATCAAATTTGCATTCTCTTTTGACCAATTTTGAGACCAAAATTTCATTGTTTGTAAGGCTATCACAATATTCTTGTTTCAAAAGATTATCTTTATTTTCTAATAAGCTTCATTAATCATCTTTTTTTCTGAAGAAAGTGAATGTTATTAGATCTACTGTAGTATTTCTTTGGTTAAATAATTCACGTTGCTTTTTCTTATTTCTGGCCATACCCAATACAGTGATTTATTAAATGAGTTGTAAGTAAACTTTTTGGGACAGCACAAACATTTAGTAGAAAAACGACCTTTAAAATTTCTAATAGACTCTTTGGTAATATGTATCCAAGCCTTAGATGCCGCTTTTCCTAGGACAAACCATCTTCGATACTTGAGTTGGCATTTGCAAATCGAAGCTGACTACCATCTGATATTTTTATGAAGAACCTTAATTGAACAAGTTTTTGATTGATTGGCATATTCTTCATTTATAAAAATTCTCGAGGTATGTCTTTCTGAGTATTATTTTTGGCTAGCTTCTTACATCACTATTGTCAATGGAAAGAGTTGTAACTCTAGTTAGACGGATACAAAGCATTACATCATTACACTCGAGTATTATTACTAATTTAATGTAATTGTGATATTAAGAATTCTGTAATGTTTCGTCTGAATGTTATTTACCATTGATCAAATTCCACATTATTAAAGAATCGAACTGCTCAAGCATGCAAAGCTTGCAATTATGTTAGAAAGATAGTAACTTGTGTCTACATTTATTATTAAAATAATCACATTCCATATGCACTATATGGTGGTTCTCCAGCAAAAACCGGCTGAAAAACATAATAATAATAAAACATATGCGCTGATTTTGTTTGAACCCAAAATTCAGTACGATATGAAGAAGTGAATTAGTCAATTGACTCAACATATGCTATTATAAATACAATTATTCATTAATGAATTTAGACTCTAATGGTTTTTAATAAATCTACTGTATAACTTAATAAGATACGTTTTGATTAATATTTATTCTTTAATTTAAATTTCATGTTGTGAAAACAATTAAATCGTTCAAGTTTTAATCAGCATGGTGGACATTCTTAGAGAAGAGGCTTCGTGACGTATAAGTTTTATCAAGTAGATATTGGAAGCAAATAACGCAAAACCATTAATTTAACAATAATCAAGAACAAACTACCTTGCTTCTATTATCTATGAAATAGATATAAATATATTATACAAATTTATTAATTTAGCAATAATTATAGAAACAACTTACCTTGTTTCTTTTGCTTGTGTTCTAAGGAAACAAAACCATTAATTTAACAATAATTATGGAACAAACACCCTGTTTCTATTATCCACGCCTAATAACAAGAAAAAATAAATATATTATACAAAACCATTAATTTAACAATAATTATAGAACGACTATCTTGTTTCTATATAACAAATAAATAAATAAAAAAATATATTATTAATTTAACAATAATTATAGAACAACTACCTTCTACTATTCATCATTTATTCATCTAATAATAAAAAATAGATATACAAAGTAAATATATTATACCAAACTATTAATTTGACGATAATTATAGAATGAATACCTTGTTGTATCCTCCTTCAGTTTTTCCTTTAGTAGCTTTATTTATTGTTTAAAAGTTTTAGTTACTTTACAAAGTGCACATTTAGCTTTTTTCACTATTATACCTTGAAAATGTTTTAAAAGATAACAAGTTCGTCCACCCAACTCCCAGTTTGCTTTATTTATACTTGTTTTTCTATACTTCAGAGCCTACTCTAATTTCGTTGCAAATTTACACATCTGCCACATAATACCATATTGGAAATGCTAGTACTAAGTAAAGTATGTCAAAATCGCGGATGCCGATGGATGCAGCTGGAATTAAGTTAAAAAAACATTAAAGAATATTTCTGTAAAGTTACAGTACGTGTCACATATCAACATGTCACCACTTTAATTGAACAATAAAGTTTTTTTACTTTAAAATTACGTTACACGCATTACACACATAAAAAATTAGTGTAATATTTTGAATGTCCACCATGCTAGTTTAATCTATAGATATTCCCAAAATAAGATAATTAAACAATATTTATCTACCATTTCCAACCTTACAACAAACTGCAAAACTGAATATAAAGTGAAAACTACTTTGGAAAAGTGAAAAAAGAAATAACAATGATTGATCTGTTGATTATATAAAATTCAATGTATTGATAAAGATACTTACCAAGAAAAAGAAGTTCAGTCAAAAAAATCACCATTTGGAGCATAATATTATGCCGGTCAAAAAGCTCTATTATGAAGGTTAATACTTCATTAATAAATTATGCTCAATATTAAATTTTTGTAGCAAATTGAAAACAAAAACATTATAATAATTAAAAATTA